TTTGCTGTACCCATATATCGATTAACGGAGGAGGCACGCACCCCGATTCCACGCAACCGGTGACGTGGCGATATTAACCGTTTTGGTAATTCAATATAGGCCGCAATGTTTTCGGTGGGAGGCTAATAAAAAATGCAAAAAGTCGCAATTGGTTTCCACAAATCCACTCGATCAGTCGGTTCGAGGGGGTCGGCGTGATAAATGGGTCACGATAGTAATTTCGCCGACATTCCCCAAATAGGAATTAAAGATTGCAGCTTCTTGCGTGCGTCGTTAATCATAATTTTAACGAAATTACTGCCGGAGTAATGCTTTTAAAACTGAAATTTGGTAATGTATCATGAAAATGTCGAGATTTATTATGAAATATTGTCAACGTGTAGGTTTTTAAGGGTGCAGCTTAAAGAGCTAAGGCTTGTAGCTTGACAGTCGATTATTGAATGTTCCAGAACTTAGTCTGATGTGGAACTAAACATAAATCAAAATCTATGGGCGATCTCCTGAATTTTGCCGCTTTTAGACTGCCTCGGCTATTATCATTTTAGTTTGACTTTCAGTGGCTTTAACAAAAGGGTATCGTTAATTGACGCAAAAGAACTTTAAAGTAGATCCCCAAGGTATGTCGACACCATTAAAGATTGCAAAAGTAGTTTGTGGAACTGACTGAACGAGCTCTTAGTGTGTTTGGAGGTACCATTGGTATTGAGAAAAATACCACTTTAGGTTTTCTGGTTGAAATGAAAAGTTGATATATTAGAAAATTCTAGTCATCTTTGTTTTACCTCCATCGCAATCCGAAACCCATTTACTAATGGAGTACGTAAGTCTGAATTTTTAAATTGGGTTTGGTTTTGGCATTGTGGTTTTTGGATATATTTTTATTTGTACCTTACGAGCATTGGAGTGATTGTATTAAAGGAGTCTCTTGTTCTGAATGAGACGCAAACACTCACTTTCACACAGAATTTCTACTTCACTTACAGCTTTATGCAATTAAATTCCTTTTGTGTATCTGTAGATTTTTGCCAGGACAAGGGTGTTTATACCCACTAATGCCCGAAGATTCACAAAGCTTGTATTCTTATTTTATTCTTAGTGACTTGTGCACGCCGGGCGCCCGAAATTTATAAGCTTTGTCAAACTTCGGTGGTTGTTTCACCCAGGGGCGGACTGGGTACTTACGGGCCAGGTGGAATTGCATAGGTTACGGGCCATTAAAGTATTAGTGTAGTAATGATGGTGGCGGGGGGGGGGGGTAGCTCTGCGGTGCACCACAAAAACTAGTCTATAACCTTTTATTGAGAAGTCTGATCGAAAAAGTACGAATTGTTTTGGATCGACCCGGAAAAAAATGTTCTTATAGAATGTGGCCTGTAGAATCCATAATTTCAAACAGTTCCAAGATTGGGCTTCTAGGTCAAAAGTTACAGCCCTTTGAATTTTCTTTCGAAATTGGTTTCTAGTCCATAATTTTGATTGAGAAGTCCGATCGAAAAAGTACAAATTGTTATAGATTCTACGCACCAAAATTAATAAAAAAAAGTGTTTTCCCGAGAAATTTTGGTGCAGTCGAAATTGGTTTCTAGTCAGGGGCGGGCCAGGTGGAATTGCATAGGTTACGAACCATTAAAGTATTAGTGTAGTAATGAAGGTGGCGGGGGGGCAAATTGTTATAGATTCTACGCACCAAAATTAATAAAAAAAAGTGTTTTCCCGAGAAATTTTGGTGCAGTCGAAATTGGTTTCTAGTCAGGGGCGGGCCAGGTGGAATTGCATAGGTTACGAACCATTAAAGTATTAGTGTAGTAATGAAGGTGGCGGGGGGGGGAGCTCTGAGGTGCACCACAAAAACATTTTAAAGTACTCCTTTCTCGAAAATCAATTACAATACAGTTTTTTTTAAATTGCAGCTGATAATTAAAAGTAACAAAATATACAATCCAAACGAGGCGCGTCGCCTATCATTGTATTTCATCACTTTCATGCTACGACAAAAAATGATAAATTCATTGTAAAACACTTCAATTAAAACAGAATTTTTTAACAACCTAACATCAACCCCAATTAGAGAAAGAGCGTTAATAACTTATTAATAGTGCAAGAAACTAAATACAGCACATACTTATAAATTTCCAACGGGCCATTATGACGTACAGGCCAGGTGGCAATCGCCCCCCGCCCCCCCGGGCCAGTCCGCCCCTGGTTTCACTCGTTTCTCCTGACTAGTCGTGGCCAATTCCCTTTTCTTTCTCGCTGCAACAATTGGATCTGCCTTTCGTACTTTACTTCCAGGCTGCCTCAGATTAAAAGGGTTAAGAACAGAAAAAAAATCAATTAATTTTTCTTACATTCATCATTAGAAATCCGTAATCAATAATTTGGAGAAAAATTAACTCAAGTTTAATTGTGAATTCATCAGACATTTGACACAAGTATATATGGGGAGATTACATCTTCAATATTAGCGTGCTTTTGAAGTAAACCTTTTTAGTCCCCCTAGAAAAGAGTGTGATAAAAATTCTCAGCTATCATTTCATAATGAATACATTTATTACAGCGTTCCCACCTGTTTTTTTCGCGTCGCCACACGATATCTTATAGTTAACTTCAATTCCTCTTTTTTAAAAATCTGCCACGAATTAGAGATAGAACTATAAGATCCTTGGCAATTTGGTCTTTGGATGGGAATCTCACATGATGTTCCTAGATGAATATCTTTACCACAAATACATCGTTGAGGATATTTACACATGGTAGATGAGTGTCCAAACCGTTGTCAATTGAAACAGCGTAGCGGATTTGGTATGTAAGATCGAACCGGCCGCATTTGTGACATTTCCAAATGTCCAAATGACTCCTGTCATCACTGACAGATTGACATTAATCAAAAGTTCTATATGAAAATTGAAATTTTATATTAAAATACGATTTCCGGTAAAATTTAATACAAAACCCTTCAGTAAAATGACATTACCTGACTCGGAAATTAAAGTACTCGGCCTCGCACTTCAATATTTCCTAGCTAGTAATGTATCATTTTCCGGACTTTTATATAAATAACTATTAAAGGAAATGTAAGTTCTTTCCGTTCAATTTTGCGAGTAAACAAGCTAGAAAAGTAGACTTTGAAAGCAATTTTCAGGAAATTAGTGAAGGAAAAATTTTTCCAGTAAGTCACAGTAAAAAAGTTCATGTTAAGAGCTAGTCGCAGGTCATTTTAAATTCTATGGTAGTCAGGCGATGTTTTGTACCACTAAAAAGGTAATTTGTGGGATTCGAACTCACCACCTGTGAGGATAGAGTCCCAATCTTAAACCGTTAAAAAATGCGTGCTTGTGAGAAGAAATTCTTGCGTCGACATCGTACGATGGAGTAATTGAAATGCTTTAAGCATCAATTTCGCGGCTGAAATCGTTTTAAGATAAGCAGATTGAAATTGTGCAGTTCCTTGAAGGGCGCTGCAGCCTCCAATCTTTCTTAGAGTTCATTTGAATCTTCCACGGTAACCGTATCGCTAAATGACTGTTTGAAATGCCACGCACCCGCATATGCGGAAATCCGGTTCGAAGGACCAAAATGATGTGCGATAATTGCCTTTGTAGTGCCAACTTACTGAAATCATGGGGTTCTCAATGTTGACTTGTTAAGTCCTTAAAAACCGATTCTGCGTATTTTTCGGGTAGGTAAGAAAATGACTCGCTTTGTTTGTACTGCCAGTGTAGTTTACCTAAAGTCACAATTAAAAGGAGCTTTCACGAAATCTCAGTCAGGATTCTGCCTTAGTAACAAAGCTATATTTATTACTCGTACCTAGAAAAAAACGTCGTAAATCATTGGCTAAACAGCGCGACGAAAGGCATACTAAGCGACAAAATACCAGAATCGTTGGTTTGTATTTGAGCCGTTATATTCGCACAACACGCGATTTTTATAAGCAATTCTACCATCAAATCGAAAATGTTTTATTCAGTTCATCAAGTGACACAACTAACTACTTCTGCCGCTGTTTACACGTATCCCGAACGCAATGAAATTATTTTCGAAATGAAAGGTCACTCCTGTATTCCACACGCTCGTCTCCCTTTCCTGTAATTCGTGCGAAAGCATACGTGCCCTGAAAACTTGTTATTTCGTTTTAATGGCGAGTAACCCGGTTATCGCTTTAGCGGACGTTGTTTTTATAAAAATTTAAGGCACCTTCTTTCATATTTCGTCCACATTACCGCTTTAATGTGGCAATTACAAAGACATCATCAGAGGGGTGTTTTATGTTAATTAACTCGTGTTATTCTAATCCTGGCCAGACCTATCCGCGATAAATTTCGGTCGATTGGCTGCCCCCTTTCGCGTAAAATCGCGTGGGTTGCTTATTAAGGGAGGACAAACAAAATTTCCGGCCAACAAAAGGGGATCAAACGTGTGTTGTAACTTTTACTTTTTATTAAAGTTGTATATACCTTGAGTTATCGATTTTATTAAGTCAATAGCTACCTAACTCGCTTCTTGAGGAAGTTTTCCGATACTTTTCGCGACCGAAGGCAATTTTGATACAATCTCTCTGATCGAAAAATACTTTCTGTTATTGGCAATATTTTTCAATTGTTAATAAGTTCATAGACTGATGAAACTGGGTGACCTAATAGAGCTATGTGATGGAACGTTTTGAAATAAGGTGGAGGAACAAAAGTAGTCCAAGAAATTTCATTGGATCCACTTTGTATTTCTGAAACATACGCATCCATAAGAAATTCCACCAAAGGCCATTAGTCCTACCACAATTTTTTATCAGTCATAAAGGCCATTTTTCCTACCCTTACTGAGTTAAGTAGGTAGATGATCGTTTTAGTTAACATGAAAATTTAATTCCTCAAATTGTAACGGACGAAACAAAGCACTTTTCTATGGTTCAAGGGCGGCTAATAGCTCCAGCCATTAAATAAAGTTGTATTGATTTGGATATAATGAGGCATCCTAACTAAATAGTTCCTACTTTATGTTTTGACGTCTGACCGTCCTCACAGATTTGATCTTATCTGTCAGTTTAGTGCAAAGACCAAACCTTATCTCGGTAATTCCCGAGTCTTACTGCGTGCATTATTATTAGTGCTTCAAAATGAAGTGGTGCTTTGTGCTCATATTTGTGATTGGGGTAAGTGGATTTTATTCTCATAGTCTCCTCAACTACACTCGGCATGTTCAGGTGCAATCTAGGCCCCGCCATTTTAAGCGTCACGCCACTCTAGGACCGGAAAACGAATGTCTCGACTCCCAAGGACTTACCATGAAAGACATAGCTCCGTACGTTCAAAAGGTAACCGATCTCAATAACAAAATGATGGGCGAGTACTTGGTTTGCGTCTGGAAGAAGAGGCAAATGATCACGCCCGATGGCGAGGTTAGCGGCGCGAACATATTCAGATACCTTGAGGACATTTACCACAAGAGCAGTCTATCAGATGGAGATAAGGTCGAAATGCGTAGCGCATGCGACGAGTGCGAAAAGGTCAAGGACCACGACGAAGGAGTTTTGGCGATTAAGATAAAAAATTGCATTCTGGAGCAGATTCAGAAGTTGTCATTTTTAGCTAAGCCGAAACCTTCAACATTACAGTAATGGTGTTGTTGGATGGCTCAATGCATTGCTAGAAAGTAATTTGTCTAAAAACCTTATCAAACTCAATCCCATATTGTAACACATTATGCATTTGATAATCTTCTGTATTAAAATTGATCCAGAAGTAGTAGTTGTTAATTCTCCTACTAGTACACTCCTCCCAGGGTTCATCCAAGGATAGTCTCTGTCGCAGTCAGCCCATATTCCAGTTTGACCACCTTCTCAGTTCCCCAATTATCATTTCCGATAACCGGTGAGGATTTTTCGACATCTGAGAGCATTATTCCTTTTTCTTGAAGTTCGTTTAACCAGGGTCCTTCAGGAACAGAATTGATCCTTGTACATACTTTGAAAACAAAGCGCTTGTTTTCTCTGTGTAAAGGTTTTAGTCCTACTGTACTACTTTCCTCTAAAGACTATATTTGCAAGAAATTTTTCTCCAATTTTTACAGTATTTCCTGCTGCTCCATTAGCTATATAACTGCATTGCCTTCCGGTGTCTCCAATTACCCGAACCGAAACTGCTTTTCCGGTTTCGGCAATGATAGGAACTTTCAAAGTATTTAAGAGAATACGGGGGGTGCCCTGATGATACACGCTCTATTGGACTTTCTCTTCTTTCGATGACATTTGCTGAATAATGGGTGAGAAAATAATTTGATAATGACTGCGGTTAGATGACTACCTACTTTCCTCTTGCAAATCCTGGAGGGGTGACCAATTTTTAAGCACTTGACGCATTTCTCTCAATCACCACTACTTTCTGCCTATCTTCATAGGTCATTTCTTTCGCGTTCCAATATTTTACAGAGTCGTGATTTTTATCACAAAAAAATGCAGAAATCTTTACCTACCACATTTGATAGCAATCCGGAGGCGTTCTCGCCTCGTAAGGGTGTAGTCTTCTGAAACCCTTCAGTTGCAGGGGACGTTAACAAACTATCAAAATAATTCATTGATGGGTCCTAATAAAGAAACATTTTGTGCCATAAATAATTGTATTTGCAATAAAAAATACTCAATTTTCGCATATGCACTTTTTTCCGTTCTATATAAGAATACGTAGTTGATGATGGTTTCTCAAAGACGAAACGTCACAGTGAAAATCTGTGGGTACCATATTGTAGAGCTTAAAAAGGAAGTCTTATTTGTTTTTCGATATCTTTTCAAACAGGGTCAGAAACAAATAAAAACGAATATGGTTAACTTTCGAATATTTTCGGAACTGATCACAATTTCCAAATGTTAAAGTATCATATTACAAAGCCCTAAAATACGCATCTTTCTTCTAATTTAACCGACTGGTTTCCGATTTCTCCATGCTGTGCATTCTTATCTTGGACACCCTGTATAACCGTCTCGTGTATCAGTACAAATGTCCTTTTTCTGAAGAAAATTTGTCATTACATTTTTATTTAAAAAACTCGAATGACAGTATGTTATTCTTAATTGTTATCATTCTAGTAGAACGGAGAACAATAAGTTGTAAATAGACCTCTGACAATCATTAAAAAAATATAAAGATCTAATCTTTCAAAAGTTACGATAATTAAGATTTTAAGTAACCTGCCAAGAAAAATTGCATAATTACGTGTAATTCATATAATTTACATTCGTATAATTTACAATTAGTTAATAATGGATGTAGTGGTCAAGGTATCGTACATGCAAAACACATTACCAAGATGCAGGTTTTTTAACAAAGTCACACGAGATACCAGGAAAAGAATAAAATATAAAATACAAACGCAAATGATGATGATAGTAAGAAGTACAGAACACAAAAGAAAGACCGCAACAGATAAGAAATAAAAATGTAGTCATCACAAGTAATGATAAAACAAATAACAATGTAAGAAACCGAAATATTTAATCGCGTCGAAGAGACATGGATCTACTATTGCGAAAAATGAATGCGTTAAAATGAGTGGAAACTTGTTAAAATACAACATCATACAAGTTTTAATTGAACATTTTCCTCACTTTACGGTTAAAATAGAAGGTGATTGTGATTTGGGTTTTCCACTCCAATTAAGAGTTTTAATTCGATCGTTCATTAAAGTACGTGTTTTGACTAAACAAACTAATTAGTCTGAGCACCCTAATTAAGACATTCAAAGAAGTGGTTTAATCCATACCCATCAGTAAACGTTTGTACACTGCGAAAATGAGTACCTTTTCCAATGTATAAAGGCGAGAATTCATTAGAAAAGTGGACCCTTTATAATGAACTGCTTTAGACTCTGTACTACATCACGTATTGCTTTGCAATCTACACTACCACAATTAGAGGCCCCTTATATTTTATACGAATTATATTAATACAACACAGCCGTATAGATTCTCAATCTACACCTGGAAATCTCAAATTCCCAAACCCGTAGTGTTCTTTCCAATGATATTCGGTGATTTGATCATAAAGTCCAGATTTACATTTCCGCATCAGTAGCTCCAGTAAAATCCCGAAGTCAGTACCACTACATAACAGCAACATTTTCCTATTACTGGCACTGAAACATACTGTGCACTTTTGAATATCTGGGTATACAAAATGATTATGTTGTTCTATAGCTCAAGCAAAAATGATTCTTGGTGACCAAAGACCCCGGTTTTGCACACAAAAAAATGTCTGTTATTCAGTATTATTAAATACCTGTAACCTTTGCATTTACACAGGGTGGCCATTTGAAAACGAAACAGATCCTATTTTGGGGACCTCAAAACATTTACGGAAAAAATCCTCGGACCCGTCAATTTTTGATTCAAGGGGGAACCATTTTTTTTTGCTAGTTTCGCCCCCGTGAGGGCAAAGCCATAGCGGAGGTGGCAACGCGCCTCCAAAATTTTAAATCGAATGGGGGGTCGAGTGATACCTTATTTTTATGTGGATTATAACCCTTAAGTTTTAAATCGCTACTAATTTGCCTAGCCGATACAGGGACAAATAAAAGATACAAAAATGTGTCAACATTTTCTTATGAAAAAAATTTCTTGTAAATGAATTAGTTAAATCACAAAAATAAATACAACAATAAATACAAAAAATGTTGTTCCCCTACATTGTGAACCGTACTTTTTGTTGTTGTTTTATTCTACCAAAAATCGCTTGTTACCTATATCTGTTACATTGTAAAAAAAATGTAGGTAAGTTAATGCTTAATAATACAGTACAACTGATATTTTTTGGGTAACGACCCAAAAAACAACAAGAGCGAAAAAGTTCACTTTTTATTTCTACGACGGTGTCATTATGACAGATTTAGCATGGCCACTAGTGTTCTTATGAATTCATAAAACCACGCAAATGATAATTATTTCTTATAGCAAACGTCAAAATTGGCAAACGCGATTACATCCACTAGTATGGGCACTTGATAATTTCTTAATTTGCGAAGATAACACAAAAAATGCGAATAAAATCTGTTTGGACCGTCGTAGATTCAATTTTGAATGATACACGTTCTATATGAACGTTATTAATGAAACTTTTGTAACTAAAATCACTCGGCTACGCCTCGTTATTTTAGCGTTACACGAGTTTCATTATGACGTTCATAAACGAGCTTGGATCATTAATAATTAAAGTGAAAGTGCAATAAAAAAAAAACCATTTCACTATGGATTTTTGGTGTGGAGATCGCAAACGATCGAATTAAACTTTTTTTTCGATTTTTAAATTGCGTTTATTTTATAAAACAACTTTTTGCCAAGTTAACAATCACAGATAACTACATTTTAGCGAATTTTTTAAGAATTAAAAGAAATGTGCCATTGATTGCGTTTTGTCCGTCTGTTCGTCCGTCCGTCCGGACCCACTGCTGCGGTTTTGAACTACTTTCAGGGGAATGGTCCTAGAGTCCTGGGAAACGTGCGTAACTTTTGCATGCGACAACCAATTATTGGTCTCAGACTTTGTACACGCATATACCTTCAGTGGTGTCAAGTAAACTTTTTGTCCGTATTGCAGTTGAGAATTTTTTAATTTTCCATTGAGATTAAATTGATAACAGTAGGGCGCGAAAGGAAGTTATCCCTTTTATTTTATAAGTAAATTCGTAGAAAAACAAGGTCGCAACTCGCACATTGTAATTAATGAGGAAAGGGCGAGAATCGTTTTATGGTCACGGAGCCTGTCCATTTTCTTAAAAATGTATTGAACGGATATTACAATATTTACCTACATAAACTCTGTGGTTAAAACTCAACAGAATAATTTTTTATTCGCCATTCTATCAATAGATACGAGTAATTTCATTTCAAGCAGATTTCCTGCAAAGCGTAAGAAGTGAGACCTCGACTCGACTATTCTGACTCGTTTCCCTTTAAAGTTTACCACTGAACCGTTGACTAGATGAGGACTAATCAATTGATCGTATACCCAGTATCCTACGTCGTATTTCTTCTCTTATCGTCCTTTACTTGTACGTTTTTAAACCGATAACCTAAAGTTACAATCGCGAAGATGACATCTGTACGGCCACTTGGGGAGTTGCTTTTAGATTAGTTTAACAAAATCAATCAAAGAATCCCAAATATTTCGTGTACTACAAAAGTACAAAAGTTACACCCTTCCGAAGGTATATGAGAATAATTAGTAATAACGAATGTGTAAAATAAATTCCTAAGTTCAAAATTTTGAGGGGTAGCATTTGTAAATGCAGTAAAGGGGTCGGCTTGTAGAATAATTGAACAAAATCAATCAAAGAAACCGAGATATTTCGCGTACTACAAAAGTTACACCCTCCTCAAGGTATATGAGAATAATTAGTAATAAAGAATCTGTAAAATAAATTCCCAAGTTCAAATTTTTGAGGGGTAGCATTTGCACATGCAGTAAAGGGGTTGATTGTAGATTAATTGAACAAAATCAATCAAAGAAACCGAAATATTTCGTGTACCACAAAAGTTACACTCTTCCGAAGGTATATGAGATTAATTAGTAATAACGAATGTGTAAAATAAATTCCTAAGTTCAAATTTTTAGGGGTAGCATTTGTACATGCATTAAAGGGGTTGATTGTAGATTAATTGAACAAAATCAATCAAAGAAACCGAAATATTTCGTGTACTACAAAAGTTACACCCTCCTCAAGATATATGAAAATAATTAGTAATAAAGAATCTGTA